TATATATAGATATATATCTATATATATAGATATATATCTATATATAGCACTGACTTCAGTGAAGAGTCAATTTCTAATACTCATTATATAGAACTAAAAGGACTAACTTCTCAAGTGATTATATAGTGGCTGCTCTGAATGTGGCTTTTCCATTAAAATGCCAGCTGATCACCCTTGGAATGTAAATTTTTTCTTAATACTCTTTAAAAATTAGTACATGTTTTTGGCACATAATGATTACATTCATTTTAGGGGTGAAATGTAAATTCTTATTAAATAACGTAAGAGTTTTTAAAATATCAAGTGAGAAAATAGGCTCCATTGAAGAGGTTTTGTTCCCTGCTGTGTCTAAAATAATGCTTGGGCAATAGAATCTGTCGAATGAGTAAGTATCACAACTGATGTTGCTCAAATATTTGACAAAGTCACAAGCATTATAAAAATATTTTCTGGCTATAAGCATACTTAGTAATAAATAGCATACAGTAGTAATAAAAATAGGTTTGGAAACAGTCTTATTTTATTTAGGGAGCTCAAGAGTTCAAAAGGAATTATGGGGTAGCATTCATTCTTATATCTGTTTTCTCGAGGTCTGTGTATCAAGCTGTGAACCATGGCATATCTTTTCCTAAAAGTCTTAATATAAAAAGTAAACTTTTAGAGCCAAAACATTGTGGGCTTATTATATTTTCTACGTGGCTTTTATTTAGTCTATGCAATCTAAAAACACTTCATGCCTTCTCTCAAAAATCCCTTCAGAATAAGTTACTTTTCAATGTACAATTATCTCATCTCGTTATACACCATATCATTTGTATCAAATTAAAAACTGACCAACCCTTAAAATATTAAAAACATTAATATATTTCTTAATATTCTAAACATTTAAGTACAAATACTTTTGTATCCAGTCTCCGTAAAGCCATTAGATGTTTGAAAAGGTTTTATACATAAACCAATGGAGTTTTAAGAATTTAGCTATGTACAAGGGTGATCATTACTCATTTTGTTTTCCAATGAGTTAATGTGTTAAATGTGATGGCAGTCCCTTAGAATCTTGAAATTCTGCAACACAATTATCTCTTCTTTATTTAAAAATCCATCAGTGTCATCAGAATTCACTCCAGAAGCCAACTTCCTGGGATATCAGCAAACCAGTCTGTAAGAAACAAGTATTTGTCAGCAAAATTTCCTTTCCCTTTATCTTCCTATTTTTACACTTTATGCCAACCTCTGAAACTCCTGGTTGACTTTCCTATTCGTAAATGACTTATATAATAAGAGCAAAAAAAAAGGACTAGACCGTTGTTTTCAAGTCTTTCATTTTCTAACTTGCAGGAAATTAAGAATCACTGTACGCAGGTATCTGTCTCTATCAAAACTGGGTTGGGGGGAAGTTGAAACTAGGCCTTGAAAGAGGTTTTTATAGAACTACCCATCCGTTTCACAGATCTCCCATTCAACTCTTTGTCTTCTGATTTGCCACACCATATAAGAAATCAGAAATAATGAAGTGTAAGATACTCAAAGGTCGGACAAAATCTAAGATAGTTTTGTGGGGAAAAGACAGGACTTATTAATCAAGAAGTGCAAATAAAACCCCAGAATAACGATGTTTGAGAGAAATAAACTTCTATTAAGTGGATATTACCTCCAAGTCCCAGAGAGCTAATTAATATCGAAACAGGCCGCACTGCTTTCTTTCCAAAGGTCTTTCCATCTTCTGGATTGTTTCTTGGTTTCTCTTGAACTTGCCCCTTATTATCATCTCAATCCTGTGCCTCTCTTCCTATTCTGCTTCTTCCTCCCCGTTCTCTGAGCTCTTTTCCCTTTTCAGAGTGAGTGGCGATAAAAATGGAGATGTGGATTTTACAAAGGCACCCTATAAAATTTCATAACTCAACAGGTGGGGTTCTGGGGTGTGTGTGTTTAAGAAAAAGGGTACATGGAAGAGTCCCGGGTTTCCAAGAGAGTAAACAAGGTTGAAGTTTACTGAAACGGAAACGCTGAAAGGCAAGCACATTTATTTGCCTATGAGATTTAATTTCAGATATGGATTTAAGTTTGATACCCTGCTCATGGCTAGTTACAGAATAATATCGTTAATTGAACACTTACAACTGCAACACACTAAATAAACTATCTCTCAACTTCAACTACATCCTGTCTGGTCACTATGGATCTCAAGAGTAGATGAGAAAATAAAGCCGCCAGGAGTTAAGGTCTCTAGCTTCTTCCTGGAGAGGCAGAAACTCACACCCCACTGGTTTCATTGCAAAATACGGGGGGAAATGATGAAGCTAATGTTTCCACGCCCCTCAGGAGACTGCCAAGGAGAAACCAAACAAGGACTACCTGGCCGCACGTAGTTCTTCCCACTCCCCAATCACCTGATCGCCCGGTCTGCACGTACACTCTGGGGCTGTGGCTCCCTCGGCCTCCGGAAGAGCCCGACTCCAGGGTTTCCGAGCCGCTTACCCCTGCAGCCCGGCATTCAGTTACTTACCACGGAATAAGGTACACGAAGAAAAACAACACCAGGTCGAAAAGGATGAAAAGCCAGAGGTCCAGCCAGTAGGAGTGTCTGGGAAGCCCGTTGGACCCGGACTGCTGCACATGGTTCTGCTCTGGCCTCTGAGCCAAGGCCTCGCCGCGCCGCTCTCGGGGACCCTGGGCACCCTCCGCCTCCATCTCGCTTTCGCCACCGCGCTGCGTCCCGAGCACCTGCGAGCGGCTCGGTCCGGCGATGTTGCAACTGAAGCAGCTTGAAGCAGATGACCTAGTGCTGCGCAAGCTACGCTGCTCCTCAGCCAGAACACCCTGGGCTCGGCGCGCCCCGCCCAGTGCGCAGGCGTCACCCTCAGCCAGCCCAAGGCCTCGGCCCAGAAGAGGAAATGCAGGCCCGCCCACTTCCGCCCTGGGAGTGAGGAGCCTGTTCTGCGGGTTTCAGGATTGGGGGTGGTCTCTTGCCTGGTCCTCGTCTGTGAGTGGGACTGGCTAATAGGAAAGCTGTTTCTGGGAAGGAAAGCTGCAGAAGAAACTCGGACAAGGCGGAGTTCATCGCCACGCCCGCTTCCCAGGCCTCCATCACTAAGTGGTACTGAGGAAAATGCGAGATGAGTTTGACATTCTATTTCTTTTTTTAAAATCTTAATTAGAATACCTTTTTCTGGTTTAGCACTGTCTTTACCATCTACTAGCTTTGCTCTCTTGTCCCTGAAAATATTTGAGTTCGCGGTCCCTAATATCATCCTTAAACTACAGGATGTTTGGGGGGAACTTGCTTGGGTAATGGGGGCTGGGGTGAATGGAATGGCACGTAATCCCAGGAGGCAGAGGCAGTAGGATGGTAAATATAGAGGCCAACCTGGGCAACATACCAAGATCCTAACTCAAAATGAAAAATAAAAAATAAATGGGTTGGGGTGTAACTCAGTGTCAGAGCGGTCATAGCTTTTATCTCCAGAATCACAAAAACAAGTAAAGCATTAAGACCATCCTACACATTAAGCTAATTTTACAGGGTAACCTTTTCCATTGTAGAGAAATTTGTAATTTTCATCCAAAAAACAAATGTTTGTTTTAAATCATCTTTTTCTCATCTTTATCTTTTCAAAGTAGGTACTTATCCTAACCATAACTCGGTTGATTTCTACAGTTATTCATCTTTTTATCCATTTTATGTTCTATAATTACTTTGCATCCCGTGATAGTTTTCATTGAAACTTATACAGATATTCCCTGTTTAACGACCCACCTGATTAATGACTGGATTTATGACATACCAGTCAGACCCATCTTTTTTATAATTCAGTACATCTTGTTTATAGAGACTCAATGCCTTTTTTTGTACAATACACTTAGTTTATACAGTACTGTTATTTTTGCTGATTGTACAGTAGTGTAGTGTTGTTATACGTTACAGTACTGCAGGCAAGAGTTATGCAAATAAAAGCAAAATCGTCAAGTTTGAGCATATCTTTGTTTTGAATATGTATTATAATGTACATGCTACATATAGTTCCTTATTTAATGATAGTCACAGAAGCAGAAGCAGAACTCATTAAATGAGGAATGTCTCTACTATCATAATTGAATGGCAGCTTCTCTCTTATCTTCATTTTGGCTTTTAGGAACTCCCATCCCTGTAATCATTATTGATCCAGCTCCATCCATTCAGCCAACCTGCTGCCCAGAAAACAGTTTACTCAACGTAGTTTGCTTTCTTCCTGCTTCTGCTATCTTTTTCTTGGCCTCTGTGCCTAGTAAATGTTATTCTGATTATTGTAGTAATCTGCCCTCCTAAATCTTACCCATCCTTTGGCACCCAGCTCAAGGGCCATCTTCATAGTTCCCTTCACTACAATTCATACTGGTTTCTCTGTTATCAGTATTTCTAAAATACCATTTGTAAAAACTTCACATTTAATCCATCTCCAGGCACTTCATATGCCATGCCTTTTTATTTGGGAAAGGACTAGTTTCTCAAGATCAAGGAAGAGAAATAGTGTGTTGCCACAGTTTTTTTCCTTTTTTAGCACCTGTTACCCTGTGTCCATTTCATAACAGCTATGTATATTTTTTCATTGAGTTTATTGGTACTTTTTAGGTATACAGTACAGTTACATTCATCACTGGGATCTTGTACCTTTACAGGATGTATCTTGGTTCTTATTTTTCCCCCATACCCCTGCCTTCCTTTCACCCCCTACACCCTGCCATATTTACAAAGTCTTTGTTTCCATTTTTTCCCTTTCTCATATTTTTTCTTTTCCCTTCTTCCCTTTCTCCTACCCTTCCCACTTCCCCTACTCCTTTAGCCTTTTTCTTCCTATTTCACAGTATCAGTTATACAATTTGAACTTTAGTTACACTTTTAGTTTTTCACACCAAAGAAACTATTCAGTACTTACACGTGTGTCCTACTTCTCTTAAGAGTATGGCCTCGTTATGCATCCATTTTCCTATAAGTGTCTCTAATTTTTCATTCTTTATGGCTGACAGCTACCCATATATTAAACTGGTTGTCTTTCAAATTTTCTATACCTTCAATTCAAAAAAGACTGGAATTTTCTTGACACATTACCTAGCACAATCTTGTCAATTACCTGTGTTGTTTTCTCTATTACAGTATTAAGCATTTGAGGGAACTGTTGTTTGTTTGTTTGTTTGGAGAAAGGGTCTCACTGTATAGTTTAAATTGGCCTTGAATTCACTATGTAGGCTGGCCTTAACTCACGGTAATCCTCCTGCCTCAACCTCCCAAGTTCTGATTATAGGTGTGTGCCACCACACCCAGTGTGGAGACTATGTTCTTTACCATTTTTGCAGCCTCTACAATCCCTCAAATATTGTCTTAAAAATGAAAGAAATATATTTACTAAATTATATTATTTTGCTACCAATCCTGGTCAAAAAATACCAAATTATCTCTTTTAAAACATAGTATTATAATGATGGCATCAAAATCTAAGACTGGATCTACTACTCTTGGTGTGGGTAGTTTTTTGAGATTTTTCCAACTACTAATAATGGATATGTGCTAATTCATTCCCCCTTTATAGATTTCCCTGTATCTGAAAGAGCAATGGAATTTTCAAGCTCTGTCACTGAGTCTTGTAACTGCAGAATAACTTGGTTATTTGGAAGACTGAGCAGAACAGGCTATGATAAAATTACCCATCCTCTCCCCCTACCTACTAATACACATACAGACTTCAACCATAAGAAGCCATCCTGTTGCTTTTTAAAGTTTAAATTGAACAAAGCTTACCTGGTAGGCATGGGTGAGAAGGATGTTGAAACTCACAACCTTGAATATTTATCATGCAAATCAACTTGTTTTTTGTTCTGTTGAATGTTGGCGATATAGTCACTGAGGACGGAGAGTGAAAGGTTATCTAATAGGCTTCCAAACATAAACATGGATGTGACCTAAAGTAAATAAATGTATACCAGTGTGAAAATTGATATAAAGAAAATATTGGCCAGAATTAGACTTATTTTTCAAATGTGAAAGTATCAGCAATTTTCTCTGGGAGATGGAATCACAGACAAGTTTATTCTTCATGCATATCCATATTTACGAAATGTTCTCAATGAAACCACCTTAGATAGAAATTATAAGAAAGGTTTATAAGAACAGCAGTTAGAAAATAAGCCAGAGATAATCTAATCTTTCTGATAGATCACAGATTTTAGGAATATAAATACCGAAAGAGTTTAATGATTTATAGTAGTGCTTTCCAAGCCACATTTCTTGGGGCTCTTCATGTCCTCAGTGATTACTCAAGGGCAAACATGAATAGAAGAGATAGATGTAGAGAACATGGCGTCATGTGTCTACTGTGTCATGGAGCTCAGTTTTTGTGTTAATATCTCTAATATGCCCTGTCTTGTGTTTGTTTTGTTTCTGTCCTGTGAAGAACTGTGTTAAAAAGTCATCTTGGGCAACCCACTTTCAAAATTGTGAAATAGTAAATCCCATGTTCCCAGCTTTCCACACAAACTGGAAAATAAGCAAAGAACCATCTGAAATACTTTTGTCAGAACTCAGAAAAACAGTCAGTTTTCCAATAGCCAAACAAATGCTGAAGCAAAATATATGAAGTAACAGAAATGAGTGAAATAGGCACTTCAACAAAAAAAAATTTAATTCATTGTTTATTGTTACATCCTAGGCATGTATACAGTATGATTACATTCATCATTGGGAATTTGTATCTTTATATGATATATCTTGGAAGGGAAAGGAATAAATATAAGAAAAGGAAAAAACAGAAAGTTTTTGTAAATAAGAAAGAGTGGAGGGGTTGAAAAGAGTGCAGGGGAATGAGAAAAAAAAATTTTTAAACTTCAACATTTCTCCTTTAATAGAGAATATTTAGACACAAGATCAGTAAGAAAATGGATGATCTGAATGACACTGTAAACCAGCTGGACCTAATGGACATATATAAAACTTTCCACCTAAAAGCTGTTCTCAAGATAAAATACATGTTCTCGAGAGTACATGGAATGTTCTCCAAGATAAATAATATTAGGCCAGAGATAGGTTAAATTTAGTTGTTGAAACCATACAAAGTATCTTCTTGCATCACAGTCAAATAGCCCCACAGGTGGTGTCGGAGGAAAAAGACACCCTTCTCCATTGTTGATGGAAATGTAGACTGGCAACCACTGTGGAAATCAATATGAAGATACCACAAAGAACTAGGACTAGAGGTTTTATTTGATGGAGCTATTCCCCTGCTGTGTATCTTCCCAAAATAATTAAAAGAATTATACCACAGTGATATATGTGCACCCATGTTCGTAGCAGCACAGTTTGTAATAGCTAAAACATGGAAACAGCCCAATTACCCATCAACTGAAGACTGGATGAAGAAAATGTGTTTTTTTTAAATAAAATGCAGTACTACTCAGCCATAAAGAATGAGAAATTACATGGATCTATAGTTAAATGGATGCACATTGAGGCAATACTTTTAAGTGAACTAAAATAGGACATGTTTACTGAATAGTTTCTCTGGTGTGAGAAACAGTATAAATAAGAATCAAAATGTATAATAATGTACAATAGAAAAGGTGAAAAGGGGAAGTGGGAGGTGTAGGGGAAAGGAAACAAGGGAATGGAATTAACGTGAGAAAATAGGAAGAAAAGGGCTAAAGATGTAAGGGAGGTGGGAAGGGTAGGGGAAAGGTAATAAGGCAAAGAAAAAAACACATGAGAAAATGAAAAAATGGAAATAAAGTATTTGTAAATAGGGAAGGGAGGAGGGGGTGAAGGGAGGGCAGGGGCAGGTTTAAAAAATGAGAACCAAGACCTGTCATGTAAAGGTACAAGATCCCAGTAATGAATGTAACTGTACTGTATACCTAAAATGTACCAATAAACTTAATGAGAGAAAAAAAATGGAAATAAAGTCTTTGTAAATAGGGAGGGGTGGAGGGGTTGAAGGGAGGGGATGGGAATGGGGGAAAATAAGAATCAGGGATATATTACGTAAAGGTACAAATCTCCAATGATGAATGTCATTATATTGTATTCTTAAAATGTATGAATAAAATTAATTTTTAAAAATAGAAGGCAATCACACAAAACTGAAAAATTAAATATTTGGAAATTTAAGCTGTATATCTGAAAGGAGTTTATATGATACATTTTATGTTATGTGCTTTTCTCACAATAAAGGAAATTAGTCCAATATTGCTTATGATTATAGAGACAAAAATTCTCAAAATGTAAGAGCAAATCAAACCTACTGCATACTAAAAGCATTGTATGTCACAACCAAGTGATATATATGCTCTTAACCTGTTAGATGTCAGATATACTGAGTTTGGGTTTTTCACAATTGAAGAATGAGTTTTAAGGAATGGAAGTTAAAAGTGAGAAAAATTTATTGAGAGAAATAGCTTCTGAGAGAGAGAGAGGAGGGAACCCAAAATTTAGTTGCTGCAGACCCCACTGCACAGAGGAAGTTTTATGTAGAGAAATCGCGAAGTGGGTACAATGTAGGTCAAAATTATGATCAACCAATAAGATTATAAGTAGCTTCTTAGATAATATTGATCTAATGAGGAAATAGGTCATGTAGAAAGTGCACATGGAAAAAACATGGACCTTTTTAGGAAGGGATGGATCAGGAAGTCTTGGTCACCCACCTGAGTGATTGATGTTTATGTAGACTTTATTGGACCAGGTGATACCAATTATTGTATAATCTTTATTGTTTATCCCTTGGAAAGGCATGTAGGTCAGTTTGTCTCTATCTTGAGGCCTGACCTCAAAGAAGTTCTCTAGCCACAGTTGTAATGTGTTCTCATCTTTTACTGATGCTTGGAAGGATCTAGTCCTGTCTGGCTGCCTATAATATTTTTATCTAACTTAGCTATTATAATATTTCCCCCTTCTGAAGAGGTACCCCTAACTGTCATGAGGTAGCAAGGGGCAATGACCATTCTGGCAATTTTGGGCTCAAAAGTGTCATATTTGTGATCACCAGTCAGAGATACTCTCTAGAGAGCCCTCATTATGTAGGAGCCTGACTGAACCAGAGCGACTCCACGTTGACCAGCAAACGACCTAGAGACTGTCGCTCCCCCCATCCCTTATAGGATAACTAATGATTAATTGTGAATTGTTAGGTGGCTGTTTTGGAGTAGCTAGGAAACTAGGTGGAAACTATAACGAACACAGAGACCCAACGCAGGTCTCGCCACTCCTTGCATGCCTGTAGTCTGAATGTTCTGAACTTTATGATGATCTAGGTTGTAAATGGAACAATGAATAATCATTCTGCTGATCATTAGTACGTGATGACCACTAGCTCAGATCAACTGACTCTTTGCCTTTGTCCTCTTCCTGTAAGTTTTAAGTGTAAACCCCCCTTCAGCCCTATGTAAAATGGCCTCTGTTTCTGAGCTGGCCGTCTCTCTGAGCTACTTGGCTTGGGGAGTGCCGTCTGGCCAGACTAATAAAGGTCTATTTGCCAACTTGCCTGGTGTGTTCCTTCCTGGGTGACTCTCGCTGTGTGAC